CGTGTTCCCGTTGCATTGTGAACGAACTGAACAGAGCTGGTTGGGCCTTCACTTTGGTTGACAGGGAGACTGGGCTTGAAGTAGTTAGAGTCCGAGGACCAGTTTGGGGGCCATGCCCCCAGACTCCTCAAGCGGCCGAGTTTTTTGCTATGTCTGTCGCCATTCAGTGGAGCACTGGCCTGTGTTATTTTTTCGGACTGTTTGAACGTTGTGAACTTTTTCAGAATGCCATGGATGGAACAAATTTCTGCTAGGTATATGTTCGCTGGCGTAGCTCAGTTTGCTCGCCCGCACATCCATAAAGCCACGGTGTCCAAAGTGAAAGCCCATCTTGCTGTCGATGAAGCGGTCGATGATTGGGATCGCTATTTAAGGCAAGGCAATGCGTGGGCTGATACCTCGGCCAAGGTTGCGGCATCCTTGCATCCTGCCCCTTCGGATGTGCTTCTGGAGGGCCTGGATCATTCCGTGGCCGTGGCCCGTGCCGTAGGACGTTTGGGTGCTAGACTAATGTCTCTGTGGCCTAGGTTAGACATGGGCAATGATATAGTGCGCATCAAGCCCCCTGCTAAAGAGCAGGCGCCCGCTAAACCGTCTCACGAATGGCACTGGGTAGGTTCTTATTGGCAATGTGCTACGTGCTTGAGAGGTCGTCGTGGTTCGTTCGGAGTCGAACCGCCTGGTGGGTCTTGCTCGCTCGCGTTGCATGTGCACCCGTCAGTGCTGCGTGACCTGGGGCATAGATGTGTGCTCATAGATTGTTCGGATGGTAGTTTCGTTTGCATCTGCCACAAATGTGGTTATTACACGTCGGGGGGGCGACTTGATCGCCTAGGCAAGAAATGTGAGCCTTCTAAACGGGCCTCGCATTGCAATCCGTGGAGACGCCTCCAAAAAGGCCTCCACCCGTCGTACAATAAACCAGGAGTGCAGGTAGATGTCAACACTTTCTGTCAGCTTTAACAGTGCCTTTGCTCTGGGTGTGTGATGCAGTTCACTTTCTTACCACTGCCGTTGCACGGCCCTCGCCTTGCTGTTGCGCGGCCATGGGGTATTGGCCCTGTGGTGACAGCGGCACAGCTGGCAGTCTCAGGCACTTTGTTTTCCGCAGTCGCCTGCGGTGACGCCTTCGTCTTTCCTCCTCCCCATGTTGCGCTGGATGCTTGTTGAAAATTGTCAGGACTTTAAGCCAGCATGGCTGGCTCGGCTAGTCCGCCTCGGGCGGACCGTAACGCGTTAAATCTTCCCTGCCAATTAGACACTTCATGCGGCTGCTGCGGCTCTCTTGGTGGCTGGCTTTTTCGGCCCCTTGACAGTCCCCCACATCTGGGGTGCGGCCTCCAGTCGTCCTGGCGCTGGCTGCACCAGGGGCAGGAGGCCCGCCGTCCTTTTGTGGGCGGCCTTTTGTCTGTGCCTGTTTTTGTCGGTCATACATCTGGGGCGAGGTCCTGGACCAGGCGCATCGGCACCTGGGGTAGGCCTCGTCGTTCTTTTGTTGACCATCTTACTATGCCGATACTTTGCCGTCTCCGTGTCGCACGCATGCCAGGCACCCCAATTGTGGGGGAAGGTGCGCATTGTGATGCATTGCGGCGTTGGGCTTTCCTGTGCCCTCGCTCCGCACTGGCTAGGTCGGGCGTGTGCGTGCACGTATGCGTTCGTGTAGGCAGTGCTGTTCCTGGGCTTCGCCCACTTTTTCTTTTTTGTGTATGGTGGGGTTTCGCCCTCTGCCATCACCGGCCCGCTCGCCGCTTGTCCTCTTGTTCAGTCGTGGGCAAGTGGCCCTGCTGGTGTCGCCTCTGCCTAACTCGGGCGGTCAGGCTTCACCGCGGGCCCTTTGGTTTTTTCCCCAATGCGTGGGTGGCGGCTCTTCTGCCTGGCGCGCCGTCGGCCCCCGTCCAGGTGTAGCAGGGCTCCCTTGGGCCCTGCGTGCCTGCGGGGGGCCACCCTGGGGTGGGTCTCTGTTGCCTGGTCTCGCGGAGCGCCCAGGCACACCCACCCCTCGTGGGTCTTTCAGAGCCGTCCGTCCTCAGTGGTCGGCGGCTTCCCCCTCAGGGCCTCGCCCTCCCTGTGGGGAGTACGTGGGCTGCAGCGTGGTCCCATGCAAAAAAACCCGTCGGCATATCCAGGCGTGTTATGCAGTCAGGTCGTCCGTCCGGAAACGGTGCCGGAGGCCGCTCTGGGCTCCTCTGGGCATCCCCCCCGGGGCCCGTTTTGTGAGGATGTCTCAGGCGAGGGCGCCGGTTTGGGATTCGTCACCGGATCCAGCGGATCCAGCGGATCCGTCCGGAAACGGTGCCGGAGGCCGCTCTGGGCTCCTCTGGGCATCCCCCCCGGGCCCGTTTTGTGAGGATGTCTCAGGCGAGGGCGCCGGTTTGGGATTCGTCACCGGATCCAGCGGATCCAGCGGATCCGTCCGGAAACGGTGCCGGAGGCCGCTCTGGGCTCCTCTGGGCATCCCCCCCGGGGCCCGTTTTGTGAGGATGTCTCAGGCGAGGGCGCCGGTTTGGGATTCGTCACCGGATCCAGCGGATCCAGCGGATCCGTCCGGAAACGGTGCCGGAGGCCGCTCTGGGCTCCTCTGGGCATCCCCCCCGGGGCCCGTTTTGTGAGGATGTCTCAGGCGAGGGCGCCGGTTTGGGATTCGTCACCGGATCCAGCGGATCCAGCGGATCAAGCGGATCCGTCCGGAAACGGTGCCGGAGGCCGCTCTGGGCTCCTCTGGGCATCCCCCCCGGGGCCCGTTTTGTGAGGATGTCTCAGGCGAGGGCGCCGGTTTGGGATTCGTCACCGGATCCAGCGGATCCAGCGGATCCGTCCGGAAACGGTGCCGGAGGCCGCTCTGGGCTCCTATGGGCATCACCCCCGGGGCCCGTTTTGTGAGGATGTCTCAGGCGAGGGCGCCGGTTTGGGATTCGTCACCGGATCCAGCGGATCCAGCGGATCCAGCGGATCCGTCCGGAAACGGCGCCGGAGGCCGCTCTGGGCTCCTCTGGGCATCCCCCCCGGGGCCCGTTTTGTGAGGATGTCTCAGGCGAGGGCGCCGGTTTGGGATTCGTCACAGGATCCAGCGGATCCAGCGGATCCGTCCGGAAACGGTGCCGGAGGCCGCTCTGGGCTCCTCTGGGCATCCCCC